TTTTTTCATGGTTTACCTCGCGCTTTGCTGATGTGCACCCCTTTTTATCCATTTCACTTGCCGTTAACAACATCGTATTGCTTTATTCATTGTTTCAAGATGTAATAATCATATAAAATTGTGGTCTGCATAGCGCACCCATAATGCGGATGTGAGAGCCTGTTTATGTTTATAAAGCCTTACTTTATTATGAAATAAAGCTATGTTGAATCAATGACCACGTCTGAAAGTTTTTCTCCTACGTTATGTCATATTATGTATCTACGCAGCTAGATTCTAATCTTCAGGTTATCTACAGAATTATTACATATATATGTAAGATATAAAATATGAAAATAAAGTACTAAATTTAATTTTTCAGTAGCCCCTTTACTCTTAATTTTAATTTAGGTACTTCCTTTTTCTGGTTTAAAAAGAGCAACTAATTGTGACATCAATCTAAACTGCCTCCTTTCAAAATTAATCCATCAAAATGAACTTTGCACTGCAGACGCCTTTAACAAAATACGATGGCTGCTTTAAAAATTATTGGCTACCTCAAAATTAAATATTCTAGATTTGGTGCTCTTCTCCTAAATTCATCTGTTCTCCCAAATTCGAGATCCTTCCATGTTACATAATAACAACCTAAAATCAACCAAATGGTAATTAGCTGAACTTGGTTCGGTATCAACATCTTTTTCCCGTCTTGCCACTCTGTCATAACGATTACGCATTAAAATATCCCACACACACTCATATATATATTAAACAGATTGGAAACTTGTTACTTGAAATTTCAGATGCAGTTTACGCTGTTAGCTCTAAAACCGTTTGTTTGATGCAAGATGAAGATGAGTCTTTTATTAGCAGAATGAACTTTTACAACTGAGCATTACTTTCTTAACGGAAAAGTTGTTTAAGCTTTTAAAGAGATCTTCGCAAACGTTGGTGAAAGTTGTAGAAAAGTGTTTTTCCGCTTAATTACTCATTTCGAAAAACATAAATTGTTTGCCAAAAACTGTTTGCTTAAATATTTTCTCGTCTCATCTAAGCCTGGACAAAATCGACGAAGCCAGAAACAAAATGTAGCAGTCACCAACAAACAGTTTAAGAAAGATGCCATTGCAGTCATATTTATGTGTTGCGAAGTAATACTCAATCATGAAAATTCCTTCTGCTTGAGAAAAATTCCTCTCCACCTTGCAATAAACAAACTGTTTGCTAACTGGATAAAATTCAACTCAAATTTCGAATCATAGATTATTTATAACAGCATAGGGGTATCAGTTAGTGAAATAATTTGCCATTAATATTAATTTCTGAAAGTATTATACTCGTGACATTTGGATTACCCTACATAATAATATGTAGTTAGAAAAAGGAAATTTTTCTGAAGAATAAAACCTGAATATTTTACCATGTTGTGCTTGAGTATCCTTTGGACAATAGGCGTGCAGATATCAAGGACAACTGTTGACCTCGGGTTTTCACGACAATGCTGTAATCATACGATAAACATCATACAAAGTAATTCATTTACGTCATTTACAAAAAAATATCAAAGTACCTAAATAATAATGGATTAATCACTATAAATAAACTGAATGAATAGTAAATACTATGTACAGGTGGAAACCTATTATACAAGACAAAATTCGCGATCGTATGTAAATTCAGTAACGCATCTTATCGTAACAAAAATATTCTGCACATTTGATTCAACGGAAAAATCTCCTCAATATGAAATTAAAATTACGGAATAGAGGTACAATATATGCATTTTAGTTACAAAATCAAGAGAAGCACGACGTACCATTTGTCATAGATAATATAGGGTGTGCGGTTTTAACGTTATATATTTTCAAAGTAAGATGGTACCCACCGATAAATATAACTGACAAATCAATAAGTAAATCAGTGTCTTTTAAAAACAGGCCTCACTTCTTCAGTATAATGTCCTGGAGATCCTTTCCTGACAATCAGAGCATTATTCTCATCTCTCAGGTGTACTTGCTCTGACCCAACATGGAATGTCCTGTAAAACAGTGGTTGTGTCCTGCAGAACTGTCTTCAAGGCTGTTAATATCAGGTAAGGAGTTGTAGAGTTCCTCCCTTTTATCTATTAACTAAGGGTGGAATAACCTAATGAAGTACTATGCGAATAATTGCTTAAGTCCACAAACAGAAAAGTAAACCTCAAGAAGGTTTAATTACCCTTTATTGCTCAAACTGAAGGTGTACAGACGGTCCCTTTCTCAGGACGTACAACAAGCCTCCACTTGGACTTAAAACTCAAAAGTGTAAGAAATAAAAACTTAACTAATGACTACCTAAAGAGATTTAGCCGAAGCTAACACAATTCTAAATAGTTGGCCGCTAAATATCGAATCAGCTAGCAAAGCTATCAAGAACATGCAATACGGTCGAGCGTAGTAACAGCTTAGAGAGACATAGTCAAAAGACAAACGCGAGCTATTCAGAAACTCTGATTCTCTCGCCCAAAGTCAGTGGAGCTTCGACTTAAATACTACTCCTTCTCATTTGCATTAAACGCGATTCTTAAAAACTCATTTTGGTAAGGAATTTGTAGGCTGAAATTAGGGGAGATAGGAAAGGAGCTTTAACTTAAAAATAATTGTTACAAACTTAAGATAAACCTTGAAGAGTAAATGAAAATTTCAGCTTAGAAATATCACTATAAAAAGTCTTCTGAATTTCTCCCTCAAGTTTGGTAGCATTATTTTTATTGTCCAATTCTCCAGGCTTTGCTATATCCGATGTTTTATTAGGATATTCGAAAGATTGAGTCTACATTCACATTTACACTTATACAGTTGTAAAGTGTACACTTACACTTGTGTGTGTCACATTTACACATTTGCCAAGTGTAATTCCCATTTACACTTAATACATTTACACTTAGCCTTAAAAATACATTTTGTAAGAAACTGCGAATGTCTCGCAAGGTACTATCATGGCAATGGCATGGGAGATGGCAGTCCTACATGTTATAGAACTGTGTTATTATCATAAAGTTTTGGTTATCTTGCTTCAGTATATCAAACTACTGTTAGACATGTTATCACATTACGTTAATATTGCTCGCGTTATGCCAGAGCCGTACTAATTTATTTTAAAATTGGTATGATCTGTATGATATTCCTGAAGCCTAACTCCGACGTCTCGTTTTTCTCGAACTCTCCAGTAATACTGTAGTTTTCTTACAGATTATTAGCCTAAAATTGTCTATAGTGTATGACTGACCATTAAAGATTTCCAATTTAAGACGCCCCAAGAGAAGAACATAAATTATGAAGTCTGGGGAACTTGCGGCCCGAGATGTCTTTGCGTGATGAACATTACGGAGTTTCTGTACGATTGGCAATAGATACTTTTTCAGCACAACAATGTCTAGCCCAAAAGCTAATGAAGCTCTGTTTATGTTTATCATTTGCATGTCTTTTACACTTATACATCGTTTCATATCTGTCCCAATTCATTCCTGCTCATATTAAGAGTAAAATATTTCGTATATACGACGCATATTTCTGATTTATGTTTTTACAGACAAGAGCGTTTTACTAATATTTTATTCATAACTCAAACAATTTTATTTGTAAGTTATTTGTCTTTCATTACAGTTTGAAATTTTATGTCTGATGTACGAAAAGGAAGAAGGAAGATGTTGAGTATCTCAGTAATGAATATGTGTTGCGAGAATGGCAAAGCATGTCCATTCCATCCGCCGTCGGACTTTGTTTAAAGTCGAATGGTGGATAGAAAAACGGTCATTTCGTAGACTAGAATAGGAAGTCTTATCGTTTCGTCAAGAAAAACTTGCATAAACATCTATGTTAAAATCTTCTACGAAAAACATTATTCAAAATGAGCAATTACGTTAAAGAATGATCGTACTAAAAGCGCAATGACAGTATGTAAATTCTGTAATAGCAACACTAGATTAGCAGCATTAAATTTCTGCAGTTAAAACAAACCCATTACATTCTTAAATTCAAACTGTGTTTATACGCCTTTCTCATTTTTGTGTCTTTTGTTGTGTTCTTTTTTATTTTTGTGTCCTTTTTGTCTCCTGAAAGATGCATAATCGCATGACAGTTTTGCATTGACAAAGACAAATAGCAGTACGAGCTTCTTCTCTTTGTGAATAAAAAGTACACAACGATTCTTTTTTATTTCTATGTCATTTCCATTTCATGGTACAGAGATTTCCTTGCCGAATTCTGCATTTCAATTGCGTTTTCCTTATTAAATTCCTTTCTTTGATACCCTTTTATACGATTATTTTTTTTTAAAAGGAAACATTTTTAAGAAATATAAACTGTCTTGGAAGGTTATTATTAAATTCTGAAAGCGGAAATGTAATTTCTAAAATCAGGAAAGTTTCATTAAATTTAATAATATTTCAAATTTTTTATATTCTTTTACAATTACCCTGGTGAGGACTAAATTTCTAGATATTCAGATGTGCAATTTAGAATTACACTTGGCAAATGTCTTAACTATGAAACACTAGAAATAAATAGTACTAGGAATGCTAGCACCATTAATTTTATTTTATTTTATTGTATACGCTTAATACTGGTTCTCTTGCATGAGTCAATGTATTTTAAAACTGTCTTTCATTTATTTATATCAAAGCTTCTAAAATTTATTTCATTAATAATGTTTAGTATAATCTAAATATGCTTTCAGTTTCATCGCTTACAATGTTAACAGTTTGCACGCGAATATGTAGCTGAATAATCTTAAAATTTATAAACCGAACTTTGTGTTCTCAATATTAAAAGAGAAAAAGAAATGCATATTTCTCGTAAAATTTAATTCTTTCTTCCTTGTTCTCGAAAGTACTTCAAAAAATTTCAACATTTTTACAATTTCTATATTTTTATTTTATAGAAACATATTCTTTAAATATTTTGAAAAATCTGATTTTTTTAAAATTGGAGGCCTTATCTAATAACAATTAATTCGATCGCAGAAAGTAAATATTTACATATTGAATTCTAAAGTCGTTTTATTTCACAAAAACAGTTTAAATATCATGAGTTAAATCTTAGAAAAAATGATGACACTGTTTTCTAATTTCAAATAAATTGACGTCATCTTTTATTATCAAAGTTATATTTGCAAATAATTTTGTTTTTAAATATGGTTTTCATTAAATTTTGTTTTTATTAAGAACGTTTAACATTACGTAATTTTTTAGTCTTTTTTATATGATTCTTGCACAAAAAATTTGAGAGATTTCGTAGTTCAAAAGAATCCTGAGATTCGGGTTTTTAGGATTATAATTCTGGAAAAGTTAGAATTCGTCTCATCTCTAATAATTAGTATCATTTTTGAAAAGTTATGAGAAAATATGTGTTCAAAACATTTTTAATACTTTATATAATGATATTAAAATTAAAATCATAATTTTCTTTTGCAATATTTTGCAGTGAAGATTTATTTATAATTAACTTGCACGCTTTCGGATTTATTTAGAAACAATTAAATAAAATGAAATCCAAATCTGAAAAAAATATAAGATTCTGTCGGACATTATAATGTCCCAGATTACATATTTTGGGGATGCGGAAAACATCACATATCCCCACTTCAACCCTCACTCTCAATAGTGATCGTAGGAAGAGATCCTGAGGGTATGCCTGAGGTTATCATCAGGGTATGGTAAGTAGCACTTGTTTCACAGCATCCGTGTCAGGCTTCACAACATTCCCCATATAGTGTCCAGGAGCTTATCCGTTATTCCCTGGATATATCTTGGAATGTGACATTAAACAACTGAGGAGGTGTGTTTAAAAAGTTAGGACAATATTCTAAAGATTCCCTAAAGACGTGCTAAATAAGAATTTTAGTCTTTATACCCTATCGTATTGCTTAAGGCACTTCGCGAAAACGAAATATTGGGATGTGACATCAAGTACTCGGGAAAATGTGTTTGGGAAAATAGATGGATGTTCCTGGATATGCTGAATATGTGCGAAGCCAAACTTCGTATTCATTCCTTGAAGATGTTGGTTGATTTATAGGTGAAACTATGGCATGACAGTAAATTCACCATGCCGAGTGAAAATGGCTGTAATAAGAATGTAACCCAATCTTCTTTCAGCATGTTCATTCTTCTTATCTGCCTTTCAAACAGTTTTTTGGAATAAATACTGATATCGTCATATCTATCATATCGCGTAGTTAGCTTCAGCGAATCATGACAAATACACTGCTGGCTATTAAAATAGCAACACCAGGAAGGAATGATCTGACGAACGTCAAAATCACATGAAAGGAAGAAGGGAATATGCAAATGATTAGCATTTCAGCGCATTTAGATGACGCGGGAGAGAGAAACGGCATCTCAAGCACTGCATAAAAGAAAAGTTGTGTAGTGGATTTCTCATTCGAATGTGCTTTTTAAGGATGGAGTTTGCTCCGAATATCATGTTATGTCTCGAATAAGAAGAGAAAGTTTCGAAATTCGATAAAGGCAAGATCGCTGCCTATCAGAAGTGAAGATTATCGTTATTATTATTATTGATATCGCCGGTCACACTGGTCGACCTCTAACCACTGTCAAGCGAATATGGAATCAATGGATTGCTGAGGGTCATACCGAACGGCATGCAGGATATCAATGCTCTCCCATGACTAATGCCCGAGATGACAGCCTTATTGTGCAGTCAGCCCTGCAAAACCGTACGACCACATCAAGGACCATTAATCAGAAAATGGGCATGTTAGCAGCACGCCCAATATCAGCTCGTAAGATGCGTCGACGTTTGCAGCAGCGTAGATTATCAGCAGGTTTATCATTACTTCGTCTTCCCTTGACAATGCAGTATAGAAAGAAAGACGGCGACTCTGTTGCACCGACAGACAAAGCTGGGTGCAGGAGTGGCACAATGTCACCTTTTCAAACAAGTCCCGGTTCTATTTGCAGTATTCTGATGGCCGTCTGGAGTGTCCGAGATGACCGCACGTCGCCTGCTTGCATTCGTGGCATAGGGCTCCTGCACCTGGTGGGATGGTTTGGGTAGCCATTGGAAATACATACGAAAAGTACATCTCTAGTTCGGATCGACGGTAATTTGAACGCAGATCAATAGATTTCTGACATCTTACGTCCAGTGGTTGTGCCCCCTCTTCGAGGCTCCCAAACGCCATGTTCCAACAAGATAATGCAAGATCACATGCTGCACGTCGTGTTCTGACTTTCCTCGATGTACAGGGTATTCGATTGCTGGCCAGGCCTGCACGATCTTCATATCTGTAATCCATTGAAAAATTCTGGCCATGGGTTCCTGAGAGACTGGCCCACCACCCCTCTCCGGTTAATACAGTTGATGAAGTGTGGCATAAGCATGGAATGAGTTTCTCATTTCTGTCATCCAACCCCAGTTTGACACCATGCCTAATGGGGGACGTGCAATAAATACTTTTTTTGTATTTGCTTTCCTTCATGGTATTGCAATTTAAATGGCCAGCAGTGTATTATTTCTGAAATATCGGAGTTTTGCTTCAGCTCACTCTCTAATTCTAGCTTTATTTTATTCTAAATTCTACTCTACCTTTTCTAATTTAATTTTACCATTCTCCTCTGTTTTTTTAATTTGAATTTTTCACGAGCAATTGTCCTCAAAATACCCGAGGAGGTTTTTATGCAATACGGAATATACAAGGTTTTACAAAACAAGAATTGAAAGCTTCATGTTTTTAAAAACAACGTTAATGTAAACTTACGTACCCAGCAAAAGAAATCACATATTTCTGATGTCGGAGTAGTTCTTTCTAAAAGTAACGAAACAGTTGTGATCACTTCTTCGGCTATGTTGCGGGCCATCCACGTCTGACCCTTTGAAAAATAACACACATGTATTTAAACAAAGAACAAAAATTGAACAAACGTAAAGATATACATTATCAAATTAAGTAATGGCAAATAATATTATTTTCTGAGTAATGTCATTAAAAATATTTCTCGAGCTGTAAAGATTTTGTTTCGAAGCTGAACCCGATGCAGAACCTCAAATTTATCGCCACACTAAAATAAAGAAAATCTATTCTTCTTCTTTTTTTTATTTCTTCCCCCCATTCTTTCAACCACCCATTTATCGAGAAAACCGGCTAGAAGTAAACAAAAGAAATGATGCAATTTTGCCAAGACATGCCACTTTTATCATATTTCCCCTAAATTGACAGTTTTATAAACAAAATGTCGTTATAATTTTTCCTGCGATAACTTTCTAATGAAAAAGAATTGGATAATGTGTATAGATGCTGTTGGCACATTTTTAGACGATTTTGCTTTGCCTTAAAAAAATCTTCTGCTCGGAATGTTTTTTAACTGCAACTATATTTTTAAAGTATAAATTACCGTCTGATACTTGACAATTTTGTCTTCATGCAAAATAGCGCTTTTAAAGAAGCAATGGATGGAAGGCTTATAAGGTTTTTTCTCCCTTCTTTCTGCATACCTTCGTGGTGTAACGGCAGCACAGTCGGCACGTATTTGAAAGTTCCAAGTTCGAGTCTTGACGAGGGCATTGCTAATTTTTCATGTCTCCTGCTTCAAAATAACCTAATAACTCTACAAAATAACCTAATAACTATGTTTATGTTCTTTCCGAAGAAAATTATTGGTATCTAACTATTAGAAAAAACTTTGTGAAAACCATGGTATTTCGATATATAAAACTACGATAGGTAATGTTGTCAACAACAAAGGAAAAACACATCAAAATTTAGCTTCAATTTGAACAATTGTTACAAATGTGTATCCAAGGCAAAAAAGGGGTGTTTCGAATGTTGTAAAAGAAAGATCTTTAATGCTAATTTTAGATCTTTAATGTTAATTTAAGAAAATCCGCCAAGTCATAGGACAGTTGCAAAATCATTAAAATGCTCAGTGTCAACTGTAAACAAAACGATTAATGCTGATTTGAATTTTAAAAGGTGAAAAAAAAAAACATAATGCGCATCGTCTTTCTCTACGTCATATCGCCGAACGCAGAACGCGTTGCAGAATTCTGAGAAACATTTATCCGGATAAAAATGGAAAAATATTTTCACGAAAGAGGAATCTTGTATGTACTTAAATGACTGCAATAAAAAGAGATCATTTATTATCATGAAAGAGGAGGAAAAAATCTTAAAACATGGGATTTAAAGAAAGTTTTTCTAAAGGAGTTACGATTGTTACTGGATGTTCATATAACGGCAAATTAAAAATGAAGACAGTAAAGAAAAATGTTAGGATCAACTCCACATATTATCAAGAAAAAATTAACACAAAAGTTTCAAATATAAATACCTTCTCTTTACACACAGTGTGATCAATCAGTAGAACTGCATCAAGACAAAGGAAACAGCGACATGTCAAAACCTACTGTTAATTTGCTGAACAAGTATCAAAGTTATATTCCTCACTCAGATCCCTACTAAATCTCCTGATCTGTCATCAATGTATTTTTGCGTTTCTGGACTTTTAAAAAGCGGGTTGTCCAAACGTCAACCTACAACCTCCTTAGACTTTGGAGGAGTTCTAGTGCAATGGAAAGTATAGGATACCTCTTCTGATACTACAAAAAGGCTTTGTTGTCTTGGAAATTACGGTATATGATGATAGTGAAGAATAAGGATTATCAAATGGAACATTTAAAACGTAACAATTTTAAGTTAAATCTTTCTGTAATTACAATGAAAATCATCTAAAAAATATGCAGACAGCCTCTGTATAAGCTAATTTTCCTTGCAAAATTCTCCAAGAAAGCATCCGTTTGATAATGCAGAGAGCTGTCACATGGTTTACATGTCGCTCTATAAATATCAAAAATGCCTTCAGGCAACCAAAACCTAGAATTTAAAATATTATTTATTTTTAACATTTTCGTTAGCGATATGACAGGCATTATAATTTAAAATAGTATATGTTAATTCATTACTTACATATTTTAAAATATTAGTGATTTATTATAATATTAAATATTCGTAAGATGAATCCAAAATATTACACATTAATAAGATGATATAATTTAAAATATCAATAATATAACTGAAGTGGATATAATTTAAAGCAGGGTTTCTTAAACGTTTTCCAGTCGCGACTCCTTTCTGTCACTGAGATTTTTTCGCTACCCTCAGGACCCCCTAATATTTACGAAAATTTTCCGGGACCCCATAAGCACTGCGCAAATCCGACACACGCGTGTGTGAAACTGTCAATTTTTTTCACTTGTACTGTAATAGACTGTTGTAGTTTTAGGTCATTAACTTTTTAATTGTAAAATTATTATAATAAGTTAAAGAAATATCAAACTGCTGAATTTTTTGGCCACCCCCAGTTTAAGAAACGCTGATTTAAAGCATTAAAAAGTGCTCTAATTTGAAACAAAAAGAATAGCCAGATTTGATTTTTAGTTTTTATTTCCTTTTAATCTCTGCATGTCAAACGTATTTCAAGTGTTCACAACGTATGAAGAATATACTACAATCGAGTCCCATTCCGTTCAAAACATTGCTGTTACTTAAAAATGCATATTTGCTCTGCAAGAAATAGTTCTGAGAAAGAATTTTAGTCTTAGACTGATAGATTTATTTAAACGTAATTTTTAAACGTTATCGTAAACATTAAATGAAATATCTTAAAGGATATAGATTTAATTTTTTTTTTCAAATTAAGCACATTAATATTACACTATTCACCCATTACCATTTGAATAACGTAATTTTAAAATAAATTGATGAAGAAAATGGTTTATACTGAGCAAACTAGTTTCCACTCACCTTAACTAAAACGTCAGAAATGATATCTAAAGCTGACTGAAATACCCCATCGTCTTGCAAAGGCGTCGTTAGAACCATTTCTACCAGATTCTATAATCAAGAAAAAAAAAATCACTGCTTATTATGTAACGTAAAAAGCATGCAGCATTCCATACAAAATATAGAAACTACTTAAAGAAAAGTTCCTTTTCAAGACAATAAACGAATGCAGGAAACAAACTTGCCCTACTTACTGAACGTCAGTGTGTACACATTATTTAAAAAAAAACTGTACGATTAAATACCACTTTAATTGTTAGTCTTAGATCCATAGTTTTAGTTTATGAAATGAACTGAATAAAACAAGCTTCCGAAACTACAGATATTATGACATTTAGAAATATATATATATACGAATGACTTATATATTACATGAATACATGTATGAATATCTTACATACATGACACTACACGGCACTTATGAATAAAATGTACTGATTTTAAATTATTACATGAGTTTTCTGAAAAGAAAGTTCTAATTAGTATATCATTTCTTATTTTCTAATGATTATTAAATAGCAATTAGATGAGATGCGAAAGTGGACCTAAATCATCCTGAATATTAAATAATTTAAAACTGTTTTACCCCATCGATAGATACAATGTATTCAGTGTGCTGAAAAAATTTTCTACTATTGTAGATATAAAAGTTATCAGTTTTATCATTTAGATAAATGGGGAATTAAAGCTCATGCTTCTAAAATTAGTTCATGTTTTTCTTTCAGAGTGCGGCAATTTTAGTCACGTGGTATCCGTTAGTAAAAGGCTGGCACAGCTGATTAGGTAAGACACAATGAACCTAAAAGATTTCTCATTTTTTAGGTTTAATTTCCTGATTTCATTTTTAATGACTTAAAATATTTCTATCATTTAAAAAATACTTTGAAGTTAAAGCCGTATAAATATCTGTGAAAAGTCAGAATAAAGAAAATTAAATTTCATCATTTCTGTAAATGAAGAATTTGAGATTTAAAGCTTCAGATTCAATTCATAATTTCCATACACATAAGATATCTTTCAGTAATTTTCATTAAGAAATGTACCTGCATACATAGCTGTACTTAATTACAATTTAGCATCGCATTTCCTCGTGTGTGCGATTGTGATGTAAGTGATTAATACATATTTACAGTAGCTAGATATCCCGTGATTCGAATCCCGGCGTAGCCACAGCTGAGTTGATTTTTTACCTTTCTTGGCCCAGAATATCTAATAGTCTCTGAAGTCATATCCGAATTAAATTTGATAGACCATACTACTATTTCTCCACATAGTTTCGATCGGCTGGAGCTCGTGCTTTTCCTCTGTCGCTTTCAACTGGAAGAGAACATAAAGAAATCATATCATATTTCTTGTATATGCTCTCATTATGTCCAGAAAATGGTTATTATGTCCAGCTAGCAATTAGAGGGCCCACGTTTGAAGCCCGGACAAATTTCTCAAAGCACAATTGAATTTTTCATATTTCCTACTATAAAATGAATCTGATAAATTTCAACAACTTGTTTGTAATACCAGGGAATTTTAATTTGTTTTACTATGAAACATATTTTCTCAGTTATATTTGTTCCTACGGAAGCAGTATAAAAATTTTAAACTTTATGCATTTTATCCTAAAAACACCATGTGACGAATAAGAATTTAAATTGCTAATTTATTTCACTCACTGTTTAAACTTAATTCATTCATAGGTCTACGGCCAATCATTGAAGAGTATTTGCGTAAAATGGTACTGAAAGCGCCCTATGTAAAAATTATCACAGATTAATTAAGTATCGAAAAGATGATTAAGCAGTCTTCCTGAAAAAACAATCATTCAGAAGGATTTATAGTGCATTGACTTTCTTCTTTTATTATTTGGGCACTTCGTAATTTTCTCATGGCAAAACATCACTAAAAACGAATATTATGCAATACACAAATTCATAATTTATTTTACATTTCCTTTCCTATATTTAAGGTAAAGATCAGAGCCTTTTTGCTTCATTGGAAACACTAGTATGAATTTCTGAAAAAGAAAGAAATCCAGATTTGCGTCTTTCGCAAAAAGAAAAAGAAGAACTTCTTAATTGATTTTGTTACTATTTTTGTTGCTGTACTTATCTTCTTGTCTGGGAATTTACACATAGTGAAGAAAAAGATATTAGAATAAATTATGCTTCAAAAATAATTCAAAGTTATTTTTAGAACGAAATTTTTGCACAAGCTTTCGTACCACATCGGAAGTTAAATACAACTTGCGTTAGGCAATTGGGTTCAATAAACATTAAGTTATTATAAAAAAGGAATGAAAGATTACATCATTTCATTAAAATAATGACGGAAAGTAAGTTGTAAAACCTTTTAAGGTTAGGAAAAAGAAATCTTAAAGCGTTCAAATTTTAACAGTCACCAAAAAAAGATTCGTTTAAAGTTTAATACGATTTATTAGTAGAGATTATTATTATAGATGGTCCATGAGGAACAGCGAAGCATTTTACAGAATACTAGATGAACATACGTTTAGACTAACATGGAAACATTACGTATCTTCTGTACTCTATATAAAAGTATTGAATGTTTTTAATTGGATATATCACGAATTAAACATATTTTGATTTAAATCAATCAGATTTAAAAGTAAAGAAAATATTCTTACAGACTGCAACTATTGCTTTTAAATAAATAGCTTAGTTGTTAATTAGTAAAAGAGAATCTTGCATTTTGCTGAATGGCAACACATTCGAATGAAAAGTAAAACAATGTATTTACAGTGAAGTACGCAAAATCACATTTCGAGACTAATAGCCCATTTAGGTTAAAAAATGACCAGACTAAAGATATTTATTCAAACATTAAAAAAAAAAAAAAAAGGAAAAAAAAGTCTGAAAGTTGCATATTTAATTGAGTTCCAAGAGGCGTTTTTTAAACATTTGTGTGTTTCCCTTATTATTAATTCAGTTCTTCCATTTAAACCATAAAATTCAGTTAAGAGCAATATCGCAAACTAATTTTTAAAATCAGCATATCTTAGATTCCGACACACATTCTCACGCGCTGGAGATAAAAATGTTTTTTATGTACGCGTTGGCATTGCTCCCTTTAAATCCTTGAGATTGTTACTTAAAATTGTTAAAGTTTACAAAATATTAGATCTATAATAAACAATTCAAATTTCAATCTGGCTCCCAGATAACCTATTGGCAGAAGATTACTTATCAATTTGGTGCCGTTTTTATCACAATGCGAGAAACATACATACATTATGCAGATCTTCCATTATCTTAATTTCTTTAAATAATATTGCTGCAGCTAATATATTTGCTGCATATTTGAAAAGTGAAAAGAACGCTTGTACTGAATCAACGCAAAATGCCAATCGAAATTAATAGTCCCTTCGGCAAATGCCCCCTTGGACTAAAAGTGAAGGTTTAGGTTTCCAAATCGTCCAATATGCGTTTTTCCTAACGTTTGTGTGGGTACCTATTATTAATATCATGTCTTCGCACCCACACCACATAAAATTCAGTCATCAGCAGCATCGCAAAATAATTTTAAATGAGCATATCTTGGATTTCCGATATACAGTCTCGCTCGCTGGAGATAAAAATGTTTTTTTTCCCCCGCCAGTGTACCATTGCTCGCTTTGAATCGTCGAGTTTGTATAAAAATTCGTTAAAGCGTTCAAAATATGAATCGTAATAAAAAGTTTCATTCCAAATTCGACTTCAGATGCCCATATTCGGGTCTAAACGTACGTTATTCAAAATTTGATGGCTCTAGCTACCATTGTTTTATCACAATGCGAGAAACATACATACAGGTTTCCTATAATACATCTTATTGTATCTTTTTGTAGTATTGTATCTTACTGTAACTTTTTCATAAAAATCAAGTAAATAAAACCGAGTAAAATGCTATTGTTTTAGTCACATTTTATGTAGTTTAAGCAAATGTACGATTCAGGTTTTTATGCATGCAGGAACGTAATTCGCATGTGGAGACTTAAAACAAACCAATAAGCTAAGAAATAATAAGAAACTCAAATAAAACTGTGCAAAGTATTATCTTTCTACTATTTCTTTCCGTAACTTGTTTTACTTACAGAATTTGTTAATCGACATGTGGAATAACGGTTTTAAAACTCATTGTTAAGTACAAATGATGCTGAATTTTTACACTATGTAGCTGTTCGTAATTTTTTAGTAGGGAACATATTTTCAATATAGCGTAAATTAATTTTGGTCCCACTCCTGAAATTAGAATGGGGGGGCATTATGTGTATAGCGGTGTCCAGGCATTGAACCACCTGTATTTCGTTTGCAAACCTGTTATTAAGTATTTCGCAGTATTATACTATCCACTGACTAAATTGCCTCATATAAAGCAGATGCAGGATTCGAATATTGTAGCTGAACAAGCACAATTCATGTTTAATATCTGTTATACTGACTCATGTTATCATCATTAAAGGGAAAATTACACATCGACAGACTAATTCTCAATTGAGGAAGATGAACATGGCAGTGAGATACTTACAACTAAGCAAATAAACGTGTTTTTTTTTTTTTTTTGATTGACGTAGATTTTAACTAAAATTGTATATAAATTTACAATAAGATTTTTCATTTTTCAAATTCTAAGTTAGGCTACTGAAATTTAAGAATAATATTTAATCGTTTTCAATAGCTTACAGAAAAGAATATGAAAAATTAGTTAAATTAAAGCATTATCTTTCGAAAAAAGCATTAAAAATTACAAAACTTATAATATCAAAACTGAAAATTTATTCTATTCGAAGGTAGGCCATAGATAAATTTTCAGCTACAATAATTAATATTTGAAAAAAAAAATGGGTTATGTATCTACTTCTAAGAATGCAGTTAATGTATTTCTACATTAAAAAGCAAAAATTTAGATTCATTCGTTATTCTTATTTTAGGAAGACGTAGCTAAATATGCAGAATAGCTGAATAGGCTATTAATATTAATCTAGTTTTCCCCTTGTATAAAATATAAATCTATCTTAACCAATATGGTCTCCAAACCAATATTGTTATATTGTTTTAACGAAAGCTCCGGGAAGCCCCAGGTCCCAAGCAAATTTTTAAGGGTTCCGCAAGTCAAAATATAGAAATTTTTTAATACTTCGCGGATCGTTAAATTAAAAATATAAAATACTATTTGTAAAATATTTTATATGATATTGTTACTTAAAATATAATGTATAAAATAATATTACGGGTTCGTAATAGATCGAATATTAGGTTATATAGGGTTCGAAGATAGGTTAATAAAAATTTATTTTATCAAAATAAACACTTCAAACTTCTGTAAATTTCCACAGAAATAGTCGTACAGGAGTTCACAGTACCACACATTACAACCAGTAGTTACGAATCAAACTACTAAGAACTTTAAACACAACGCAATGCAAAATGCATCTAAAGAGAAAGCTAACTCGAATATCTCAGTTCACGCGGATTAACAATCGAACAACAACAACTCCGATGAGGGCAGATGCTTTCTCTCTTTCGCGCAAATACCTGCTGGCATTAATAATCAAACGGACGGAACACCTGAAGCGGCAAAAACAGAAAGGAAGAAAGAAGTTGGGATATGTAAATGATTAGTATTTCAGCGATTTAGACGACATAGGGGGGAAACTAATAAAAAATAAACTAAACAAAATATATGAATAAAGTTGTGTAGTGGATTTCTCATTGGAAAGTATTTTGTAAGTTTGAGTTTTCTCAGAATGTCGTTTTGCCCTCGAATAAGACGAAGAAATCTTACCAGCAAGTTTCGGATTCGAGAGAGGCAGGACGTTGCTATCGCAAAGTGTAGATATCAATCCGTAATTCGCCGATCGCCTGTCGAATCCAGCACGTCATGCGAATATGAGTCACTGGATTGCTGAGGGTCATACTGACGGCATGCCCCCTATGACTACCGCCAGAGAGGACACACAAATTGGGAGGTCAACCCTGCGAAATCGTACCAGCACATCACGGAACATTAGTCAGGAAATGGGCATGTTTGCAGCTCGTAAGGTGCTTCGACGTTTGCAGCAACGTGAACTATCAGCAGGTGCCTTACTTCGGTCCCCTGACAAGCAGCTAGAGAGACGGCGACTCTGGTGCACCGATCGACAAAGCTGGATACAGAAATGGCCCAATGTCGTCCTTTCATACAAGTCCCGGCTCTGCGTGCAGTATTCTGATGGCCGTATATGTATCTAGAGGCTCCGAGAAGACCACACGTCGCCTGCTTACATTCGTGGCATTGGGCCCCTGCACCTGGTGTGATGGTTTGGGTAGTCATTGGGTACACGACACGCACATCTATAGTTCGGATCGACGATAATTTGAACGCAGAGAGGTACATTTCTGACATCTTACGTCCAGTGGTTGTGCCATATCTTCGAGGCCCCCAAACGCCATGTTCAAACAAGATAATGCAAGAGCACATTTTGCACGTCGTCTTCTGACCTTCTATACACAAGATATTCGATTTCTTCCCTGCACGGTCTCCAGATCTGTCACCCATTGAAAACGTCTGATCATGGGTTGCTGAGAGACTGGGCCGCCACCTCTCTTCAGCTAATACGATTTATGAAGTGTGGCCGGAGACTTCAAGCAGAATGAAGTTGCCCATTTCTGTCATCCATGCCAGTTGACTCCATTCCTAATGGGGTAAGGGCAGTTTTAGCTGTCAGGTGTGGCAGCTGTTTCTACTAATTCCGCGCCTATGTAAACCTCCAAATTGTTTACAAATTTAATCATTTTGTCTTTAGGGCATACTGTTTACGTGCAATAAATTCCTTTTTTGTATTTGCTTTCCTTCTTGGTACTGCAATTTTAATGGCCAGTAGTGTAGTTTTCAACCGACTGCCGAGATATTTCTTGTACTTTCTGCTTCTCGAAATTACTGGAAAGCAATACGAGGGTGGAATTACGGTTACAGCTAACACAGGGGTCAATTACATTTTTTCAATTTCAATACATACTATGGTGATACAGCGACCGGCCCCCAATGTCGCCAAATATTCGCCAAATTTAATTATATTTCTGGCCAAATTGGCGACAAAATAAGTGGCCAAACCGTTGTCAGCTTGCGATATCTCGCCAAATTACCAAGATACCCGTTTACTCAAGGTTAAATGCATTTACCCCTGTATACTTACTTTCCCGGTATAGCTTTTGTTTAGATTTTTCATGTTGCAAAAAAAATACAACAGTTTTACTTATAATTCTGCTAAAATTACTTATCTAGGTACAAAATTCGTAACAATATGAAATAATAGCATTTTTATAGATTAATTACGTTTTTATGGAATCATATTTTAATGGAGTATTTTTTTATATTTTTTTACCTAAAGCACACGCTTCATTGATTTACTTTTTGAAACTCAGTTAACTTTCTCATTTTTTTTATGATAATAGGGTTTGCTACAAAATAAGTCGAGTTTTAAGGGTTCCACAAAACAAAATTACAATTTTATGAATTTTACGAAGAAAACTCTAGTTTTATAAGTTCAAAAAAAGACAGTTATATTTTTATGCATTCCACAAAAGAAAATTCTAATTTGATGGGTTTCACAATAGATATATATAGTATTAACATTTTACAAAATTTATAGCTTTATAGGTTCCACAAAATAATATCAGAGTTTTATGGATTCCATGAAACAAATATAGTTTTACGGGTTTAATAATAGTACATAATAGTTTTATGAATACAAGAGAAAAATTATATTTTTATGAGTTCCACAAAATAAAAATATAATTTTATGAGTTCTACGAAAGTAAATCATAATTTTAAGGTGTCCGTGAAAGAAAATTACTTATTCATTGTTTCCTCAAGTGGGTAATATTTGAAGAAAATTGGTTTAGATAAAATTACCTGTGCCTGGAATAAACAAAAATTAAGTGAATTATTATAAAAACTGATTCCTCTCAGTATTTGATGCAGGTTTTTTAAAACATAATAAATACACTTTTCCTGAAAGTTATCTCCAAAATGTTTTTTAAACATTTCCATTTATGTTTTTTTAAACATTTAATAATGATAATGATAAATTTCATAAAAAGACAGCTCTTACCTTCAGTTCCTTGAGCAAAATTTCGGGTCTATTGCAGGCAGCTAAAACTTTTCGGTACCTAAATGCACTTTTCTGAAATGGAATAGAAGCACTTAGATTTAAGTAATAATTACAAACATTGAATGACAGATTAATGATTTTCATTTTTAAATTATTAAAATTTAAAAAAAAATTCGAAATTTTGAAGAATTTAGAATCAAACAGTTTGAATCTAATATCGTGTGTGAAAATTATAACATTCTGCATAGTAATTGATGAACCTGCTGTATGAAAATTAATAAGTATAAATAGTTAAATAAAAGCCAAAAACAAATGGAAAAGGTATATTAAGCACAAATATAAGAAATATTTTCCAAATTAAGCTCTAAAATGTGAGTTGGATATTCCTCGCCTAAACCTTACTTTAGGCGTGAAATATCAAAATTAAATAAATAAGTAAACGCAAAACGATTGATTATGATCCTACGATAGTTTATTCTACTGAGTAATTTATTGTATCTCTAAGCAGTTTTAAAACATAAATGGTGTCTGAGGCAGAAAGGGGACTCAGAGATGTGGCTAAGCTTGTTGTACTTATATTTTCCAATAAATGTTTGGAAAGCATTTCTAATACAAAAAATACAAAAATATTAATTAATGACTTAAAAGAATAATATTTGTAAAAATATAGAGAACCGGCGATAAATTGAAGGAATGAACTTAAAGGCGTTATAAAATGCCTCCAAATAAATATTTTCTCACAAAATACATGATCGCGCATTAAACGGTTAGGCTCCGAAGGACGCTTTAGTTTTCCTCCACATATGCCATTTTTTATAATACGTGGACACGGCTGCTTTCAAACTCGAATAAAAGGGGTAAGTTTTATCCACATATTATTCTTCATGTATTTATTTATTTGTTTTGTATTTGCAATTAGTATTTTTTCATGCATTTTGTTTGCACTGGTTGTACCATGGAACTGTGTCTTAATGAAGGACTTTTATTTCCGATATTTTCAAATCACAGTGTTCTCAAATCATCCAAATAAATTTTGATTTAAGAAAGATAGTGGTTTAACTTCTTTAGCTCCTTCTCTATAATCATCTCAAAGGAATCGTCATTTCTAGTCTTAATCGCATCTCTGTGATCTTATTTCTACAGAGATGGACACGTCTTTCATACACCATCGTTAGCGACTTGAATTGGATTAGCTTGCGAATGAGGAGAAGGCGAATACAATCGGGTACCATATTGCGAAAGTCGACGCAAGTGGACAAACAGGAAATGCTCTGCAACACCACCTTATTGCTTAACGTGCGATCATGCATTCTTCGTGAATAGTAAATATTTAGGAGTATTCTTCTCACTTCTTAAAGATTTTCCACTGGATTTGAAACACACTGTATAGTTATCATAATGGCATCTACAATTTCAATATACTGTTTTGTAGCACTGAGAAAAGATACGGCTGGGGTTCCTGACCTGGGTGGAATTCCGCTGAAATTATGGAAATTTTTCATTTTCTGAAATTTCTATAGTTCCATAGTAAATATAAAAAACATTGCTTTCAGTCAAATTTTGGTGTTTATCAATACATTTTATACATTTCCCGGTTTAATTTATAAATCACATCAAAAGGTAATCTCAGTTTAAATATATCGCTTTCGAATTTTGGAAAGGAAGAGAAGGAGAATCTTTTAGTATAGATGAAAGGGGTGCATGGAGCAAAAAGGTTGAGAACCATTGAGATAAGGTACTATGGTATCATCCAGATTCCACATATCTGAAATTCTAACTGTCTCGATAGCTTCTCCTACATTTAGCAAGATTAAGCTTGTTAATACATATACGCATTTTTTATTTTTTTCGTTGATTTTGGCAGTACCAAAACTGACATAGAACAATATTTAGAGGATATGAAACTAATATAATTTTAGGAGGTTATCAAATTAATTTACATGAATATGTGCAATATGCTTATTGACGAGAAATATTCCATTGTCCCAATCAGCCTCTAAAATATTTCACTTTTGCAGACGATCTTTTTTGACTTTCTGTATTATCATGAAGTTACTGTAAACTAAATTGGCAAAGATTTTGCTTCATGTATTTCATGAATGTTTATGTTATGCGTATCATAATTTTATTTTATCATTTTGCTTAAATGCAAAGTAAATTTCTAGTTAACTTTTAGTTGTACAAAAATAAGTCATATATTTGTTTTCTGGGAACGTAAATGTTCTTACTAAATTTTACATCATTTAGATTGTGATGGCAAAAAGGTTGTCTTTAGCCATCATAATTTAATTTATTTAAGTTCCAACAGATATAAATAACTTTCATTTTTTACTGTTAAAATATAAAAGAATTATCAGCTTCAAGAAAAAATCTGATAATTCAGTTAGAAAAAGTATGTTGGCATTTTGCTTCCAAAAAAAAAAAAAAAAAAAAAAAAAAAATTTTTTTTCACTTGAGTTAAAATTCAGTGTGATAAACGAAACAAATAGAAATTTCCTCACTTGCATTACAGTAATTATGTATTTGGCGTACTGATGTGCCTAATTACATACTTTTGGAGAGCGAAAAACGTAAACTCATTATCCGCCATTTTAGAATATATAGAAATGTTATGGTCTTCTTTAGTCACGATATTTACAAGTCTGGTCTTTAATGATAATAGAAAGATAATGTTCAGAATTTTCACTCAAATTCTCGATGCGTTCACCATTCGTCATGTGGAAAACGGTTGTTGCATAATCCAATTCAGGGTACGGTATTACGACTATTATGGTCCGCAGAGTGTACCATGGTATTGCATTATTTCAATGCTATAAAATATCATGGACAATTAATTGGAGCTTCACACACCTTTTAAAAGGTTCGCCGTGCTTATCTGAATAAGAAACTACATTAATCTGAATTAATCAAGGCTACTTGTTACAATCTGTCTGGTCGTCTCGATCACTGGACTAAATGCTGCATTAGTTTCCTCTGGAGTTATTCCTTTCCTGTGCTATGAATTAATGAAATTGAAACAATGTGTTAGCATAGTTATTATTCAGGCCATTACCGGACAGGGTGTAGGCCGAAATGGTTACAAAGCAGACATTTGGCGTGTCTAGAAATGCAGCCATGTCAAAATTTACTAAGGTCTGTGGAAGTCTTAAAACCTAACGATTTCGGGGCCATTAAATTAATGTTTAAAATGTAAAAAGTACTTTTTAAATGCTGTATCTAATAATCTTTTGGGAACTGTATGTCTGCATCGTAATTCCCATAACAGCCGAGCATCGAGAATGGTTTCCTTTCCTCTCCTACTACTTTCCAGAGTCCATTAATCGTGGTGCGTTGTTGCTTAGGTAAAGTTCTTTTCAGGAGACGAAAGGCAAAACAATCCATAAGTGAAACAGGCATTTCGCAGAAGTAGGTTGAAAAAGTGCATATGCAATACCTGTATCAGTCTTCATTTGTTCATGGAATGTAATAATATATTTCGAAGTATAACTTGTTTTGTCTTAATGAAACGCCACGTTTTGAAAGTTATTGGGATAAAGAAATAGAATTTCTTTTATAAATATCGGACATAAAACTTCCTCTTGATAGTACATTGAGTTGATTTTGACATTTGTTTCCACTCTTCTTATTTTCTTATATTTCCCATTGTAAAAGAATCCTGCAACAATAAAAAGACCCTTACAGAAACTTCCTTTGCATTGGCGGAAACAAATAGTTTTCATGCAAGGTCCTACAAATTGCACTGTATTGATCCACATGCCCCGGCAGCAGTTGAAGGACATTATTCCTTTTAGCTTTTTTAATTTATAAATCTTGGTTTGTTACTTCATTTCTGTTGCTATAGATGGATTTAAAGACTTTGCAATTGATTTCTGCGTCGGCGGATTTTCCCTTTTTAGCAATGATTTAACTTAAATAGCATTACCAAAGTACGTACCTTTACCGAGATTCTTCTGGAGTCTTCTTCCCATATAGAAATATTGACTGTATTTTTTCCCTTTCCGATTAATATCGTTGCTTATTTTGTGCTGAAAAATGTTAACAGTTAGTGTCAAAGTTAGTCCAAGTTAAACGTAAAATGAGTATTCCAGTAAGCTTCTATAAAGAAATTGTAGGTGCTGGACAACTAATGCATATTTAGCAACATTTTAACTATATTGGTGATTTCAAAGGCACTTGTGTCTAACATCTTGGCAAAGTGCATTGTGCGTAAGGAAACGTCGTCTGCAAAACAATAGACATTGCCTGATAGAGAGAAGAGGATATTAATGAAGATATCTATGACAGCGAAGACAAGTATGATGAAAGTGATTGAAACTATAGAATATGAAAAAAACAATATAAAAAAATTACGTTGCAGCTGTCTGCTATTGCAAATCTTTTAAGATGGGTGAATGCAAACATGGGATAACTGTGGTTGCAGAAACTTAAAATCAAAGCAGTCGATCAATGGAAGCACAGTATGACCGGGCGAGTCAACGCTGTTTCCAGATATAAAATATACTAACACCATTAGAAACTTACCACCTGTCTGTTTCAAATAATGAAACATAATGGAAGTTAGATAAAATTTTGATTGTCATGATGTGTTTTCATTATCAGGTTGAAAAGAAAAGTCACTGACAAGTACTAAGAGACTATTTTCCCGTAGCATGTTTCTTTAATGGCCAGGTACTGCTATCTATAAGGGATGTCTCTTTCAAAATGGTAACATCCCAAAACACATGGGTTGAGTGTATCTACTATATCCATGGAGATAATGATGCCATCCATCTCTCTAGCCACTAGAATGTTCTCGTTCTCAGGAGGATGATCCTATTCCGTTGATAGTTATGTTATACTTTCTTCCATTAGGTGCTCACTTTATTCTGTTCAGTGCCCTATAATATTACTCTAAAATCAGGGAGACCAACTGATGTACTGCATTACTGTTTTTTTATTTATTCTTTTAGTATTATTTACGTTTATTTATAATAATAAAAATGTGTTTTAGCCAAAATTTCAAACTCTATAAATTGAAGAATTTTGACGTTATTACTATTTTTTCCTCATGTCTCTTTTTACTTAAGATTTAAAATATTAAATAAAATTCTTGAAAAAGATCAGATTTCTTTGCGTGAACATATTACATATTTTCCATCTGTTCGTGCATTTTTAATGTAGGATTACGTTTCTCTCTAATGGGATGATGGGAACGCAAGCATTAAGAAATTATTTAAGGTGTACGCAAATGCTTATATCTTCGAAACTACAAACGTTACAATCAATCTAAATGCATCATTATATAGACGAAAAAGCACACGAATAAAAATAAATTGGACAAAGGGTATACCCATAGTAATGTGTCGAAAATAGTGAAATTTTGACGTCGTCAAAGCTCCGTGCGCATGCGCGACCGTGTTAGAGTAGCAAGGTCGTCTGGTAGACAGTCAATGTGTTCTTGTAGTGTTTTCCGTATTTTATTTTATTACTACATACTAGAAATATAACTGCAGATATCTTAAATTATGTATCTCATTTCTCATATCATCGACCAATTTTACGTAGGGTCATTTTGAATGAATAAATGTAATAAAAAATAAAATAAAATATATTTGTATGTAAAATATTGTTTGTTTTATTTTATTTGTTCTATAACATCCTCACACCTCCATTAGTAATCTTACGCAACAAACACCAGCGACTCTTTAAATTAAAAGAGAGAGACAAAGAGCCTACCGTCAATTTTTTGGCAACAAATCATTTTCTAGTAAAATAAAAGTTGAAAATCTTAAATAAATCTTCTTTGGGCAGCAAGGTCACTAGACCTTTCACCAATCGAGCTTGTCTAGGATATAGTAGGCCGCCACAAAATATCGCAGATCTGGAGCGATATTTTGTGGTATCTGTAAAGAATCAATAGATTTCAGTTCACTGTTTTTTTCCTCGAATTCGTCAGTGCTCTGGTAAAATTAAATACAACATTTTCATCTTTCTCTTTCATTACTTTAGACCGATACGAAACACTTTTATATATTCTTTGCCTTTTTGATAGCCTCATAGATGTGTTATGGATTTAAATTTACCTCTTTTTTATGTTGATTATATATACAGATATCATAGAGGTCAGCAAAATAATTATAGAAGTAAGGAACTTATAATTACCTTCCAAAGTAAGGAATGTAACCATTGATCTCGCATATAGCAGTTTGATACCTGAAAAAGACAAAAAGGTAAAGCTTTTATAAATTACTTCATGTAACAATTTCAGTAAAATAAAAACCCAAACTAAAAATTAATTCAGAATTTAAAACAATTTGAGGAGAGAATAAAGATCTCAGACATGAGTCTCTATAGCATAGTTCATTTCGACAAAATAAATAAATAAAAAATAAAATAATATAATAAATGTAGGAAATATAGTACGAAAAGAGATTGCTTCAGGAGATTAGAATGGCTATAACAAATAATATCTTGTAAATACTCCGCATTACTTGACATAAATATCGAAAGACGCAGAAAGTGAAAAGTGAGTTAGAAAGTGATACTCAGTACCCAATGATATGTTTATTTGCTTTGCCTGCGGCATCTGTAAAGAATCAATAGATTTCAGTTCGCTGTTTTTTTCCTCGAATTCATCAGTGCTCTGGTAAACTGTTGCATTTGGTGCAAGAGATGTTTCGAAACGTATAAGGTAACTCTATATAATTTTATTATTATCATCATGTATTATTCTCACTATTTATATCACCATAAATATGAGGAACTGTCACATTTCCGTGTGTGTTGTAAGTGGTTAGCAAATTCAACTAGCTAGCAGAAAAGAAATGATTATAATCCTGATGAGGCTAAAATTTATTTTTCACATTTCATTCATCAAAAAACCTTATGTTTCGTACAGCGCAAGGATTCTCAACCGAAGAGGAATTCCTTCATGGAGGGAATTGTATAGTTTCAGGAGGAAATGCGGTCAGCGATACGTTTCCTTATTTAGTTTCTAAAAGATATTAAAAAATTACCTAAATTTAAACAAATGTGTATATATAGTACTTTAGATACGCAGCTAGAAAGATAGATGCAAAAAAACTAGTAACTTCCAGAAGTGACCATTTCTAAACACAACTTTATGGTAGAGGTTCCTAACGTCATCCTGCACCACATTCGGCCAGACATTCATCAGTTGTCTCTCCAGACCTGCGATATTTTGTGGTTGCCTACTATATCCCAGACATGCTCGATTGGTGAAAGGTCTGGTGACCTTGCTGCCCAAAGAAGAGTATCAACCAGTATGAACATGAAGACAGTCCAAAGATATGCGAGCGGTATGTGGCTTGACGTTATCTTGTTGGCCCAGGATGACATGCCATGAAGGGTAATGCAACCGGCAGTAGTATGGTATCAACATATCATTGAGCTGTTAAAGATGTACGGAGGATGACTAGAGATGACTGCTGTCATAATAAATAGCGCCCCATACCATAACACCAGGGGTTATAGCTGTATGCTTTTGTAAATCAAAGGCTGGTTGGGACCTCTGGCCCCGTCCTTTCCAGACACGAACATGGTGGTCATCTGCTTCAAAACTGAAGCGGGATTCATCATTGAATGCCAGTCTGATGGCATCCATGATGATCGGTTGCGACACCACTCCAGACGACTTCGTTGATGTTGTGGGGTCAAAGGCAAACGTCTTAAAAGGCCTGTGGGAGAGTAACCCCGCCTCGTACAAGCGCGGTGAGATGGTGGACGATAACACGGGAGTTATAGAAGTGGCTGTAGTGCGTTGAATAGTCGACACTGATACCGTTGGGGGGGGAGGTTCGGGCCTGGCGAACAATTATCCTATCTTGCCTTGCATTTGTGCTCCTTGGCCTTCCAGAGCCTTCATTTCGTCGGCAATTTCCTGGTAGCAACCATTGCAGCTAACATCTTTGCACAGCAGTGTCTGTACGCTGCAGGTGGTGGACTATTGCTCGGTATGACCACTTAGCTTCACACAACCCTACAATGCGACCACGTTCGAAGTCGTTTAGTTATCTGTAAAGTCTTCGATATCGTCGTAATAGCATCTTTAGTTGCTTCTTCACGGAATTACAGTGGCAGCAACAACAACAAAAAAAAAAAAAAGATAAATTTTCCGCCTCTGTTACTAGTTTTATACTTTGCGAATTGCGCACTAGAAGTATGCGCTATGATCGCAATTCCTGATTCGCCTTGAAACTTTGATCATTTGCATATTCGATCAAGATGTTTTTGCAAAGCAAATTTCGTCACGATCGCAAAATCCTTCTTTGCGCTTCGATTTTTTTTCCAAAAGAGTGTATATACATATATATTTCTTTGAGTTTTAGAAAGGATGGGGAATTATCGACTAGCATCTACGAAACGGGTCCATGGGGCAAAACGTTAGAGAATCACTGCTGTAGCCGTCCCAGTCGCCTCTTAAGTGGAGTAGATTAAAAGAGAATCACCATATTTCCCCATGCGTGCTCTAGTAGGTAGCTCAGCTAGAGGAATCACAGGTTATAACATGAGTATAAAATTACACATTTCGCATATAGTACGAAAACAGATTGCGTCAGGAGATCAGAATGGCTATAGCAAATAATATTAAACTCGGAATACTCCGTATTACTTGACATAAGTATTGAATAATGCAAAAAGTAAAAGTGATACTCAATGGCGAATGATATGGTTACGTGTTTAACTGCTGCATCTGTAAAGAATCAATAGGCTTCAAGTCGCTTGTTTCTTTGCTCGAATTGGTTTCTCCCGTCTTCTTGGCGTGCCTTCGTGGTGTGGTGGTCTGCACTCTCAGCGTGTAACTGAGAGATCCGCGGTTCGATTCGTTGCGTTGCGTTGCTAATTTTTCATCCTGCCTGCTTCCAAAAAACTTTTAGTGTTTCTGCAAGTGTTACATTTGATACAGCAGCCGTTTCGAAACGTACATGCTAAATTCGCATAATTTACTTTAAAGAATTCCCGTGGATGCTCATTTCAAATGAATTGTTTTCTTAATCTTTTATGACAACGCATCTAGCTTTCTCAATAAATTTTCATTCCTGATTTTACAAAAATTCGGATTTTTATTAAAAATGCAGAACAGAAAAGAAGAAAAAGAATTATGTTCAGTATAAAACCAGTGTCGAGAACAACCTCGTCTATTAAAACGAAAGCACTGCCATTTAATATTTTTCACGATATAAGAGAAATATGATATTTGCTTTATCTTGATCTTGACTCCGAGAAACTACAAAAAAGAAACGGAAATCAGTTCCAGCAGACTAGAAATTTTGAAAAATGCATTGGAAGAATAAAAAACTTAATAGATCAGAAAGGACTTTTGTAATACCATAATTATCTCCAAGAGAAATAATATGTCAGATTTCCTTTCCTTGCGTCATTTTTTGATTTTCCTTTACCACATCATTATAAATTACATCATCGTACTTAAATAAATGTCTTCAGTTTTTCCTGATTCTCAACCTTTCTTTAATGTCAAAATGGTAAATCTATTTTGATTTTGTAAACTAGCAGTATTTTGTAACTAAATTATGATTAATTGTTTTTAATTTCTAATCATGAGCAAAATGGCACAATTCCGGGTAATTCGTTCACTTTCACAAGTACAGTATTATTATTTACGTGGCAGTTGGTTAATTCAAGCAATCCTTCATATGACACACATCTTAAAGAACGAATCCCATTTGATAAATAGTAATGAAACATTTATTGAGTTTACTTTAACTAACACGTTATTTTTTACGTTAATTTTTTTCTGTACATTTTATTTCTTCCATCTACCCCTGCCAGAATGTAAATGAGGTTGAGTTCAAACAGCTATTGTTGAGAGTGAAAGAATAATGTAGCATGTAACTGTTGATTACTTGAGACGCTCAAATGGGCTTGGATTCTTGAGGCAAAGGAAGTTATCTTCTCTGTTGTTCGTATTTAAATATTTAAATTTTTAAGATCTTAGAAGTAGTATTAGTTAGAACTTGATTAAATTTGAGTAATATAGTATAGTATGAAATTTTCTTTAATAAATCTCTCAGCAAGCTTTACCTCTTGTTTGCATTCTTGCAGTTAAGACTTCTACTAAGCGCGAGACCAAAAATTCATCTCAGTACTATTAATCATGGGGTGAAACTGCTGAATAATGATTATTCGTCCTCGGTTCAAGCCCAGGCCAAACGGGCTGGCTGCATGAGGGGTTTTCGTGGTATTTTTTCATGTGTAGCCTAAATATGAGTCATTTTCGCTTACAAAAGCATCCTTTCCTTTAGGCAGGTAGCCTTCATGTGGGGCCCACCAGCGGCGGAGCGGTAAGTCGCTGAATACTGACCTGGGTTCGATTCCAGGCGAACGGGCTGACTACATTGGCGTTTTCGTGGTGTTTCCGATGTGTAGCATGTATACGAGCCAGTTTTCCTCTGAAAGTCCTCCAATTAAGGTATCTCCCGCGATAGGCAGATAGCCATGGCGTGCTTGACCATAATTAAATAAACCGAACCAAACCAAACCTTCGTGTTCTTTGCCATATTCAAATAACCACCCCGTTAACGAAAATTAGCCTAAGCAAGAGAAGATATTAAAATTGGCATAGTTAATAACTAATTAGTTTTAATCTTACCGACTTTCTCCGCTGAGTTAGGACACTTACCATAAAACAGAAATAATCTTCGGTTATTTAAATGGCAGGGTCTTAAAAATGTTATTATGAAAGATAGCTAATGGATATTTATCTCAATGCTTTTTTCTTGGATAATCAAGAAAACACTTTTTGAAGTTTCATTTCAACAAAACTTTCTCTCGATTTGAACAAATAATTTCGTCGAACACGTTACATATTTATGCATCATTTGGGATAGCAATGAAGGCAATCCTCTTTCTTTCATTAAATATGAATGCTAATATTCTTCACTCATGTTCAAAGCAGGCGAAAGAAAAATAGTATTGCTTATAGATTCTTTAAAATTAACTCTTGGGAATAGCCCAACAGGTACGTGCGTGTTACTCATATAAATTAATACTTTTAAGCATTCATTTTTTGTTTTCGAAATTGTTATTGTTATTGTATGGTTTTAAGAATTAAAGAACGTTGTCGGAAATAATTGTAAAATAATAATAATAATAAATAAATAATAAAATAACGTAATAAAAGAGAGGGACTATTTTAATACGAAATGTTTTTGTCATTAAAGACATTTTATTCGTATTTGTTGGTTCACTCATTTTAAGAAGTAATAAACAGTTTTGTAAAAAATTAGACTGATATTTGATATTTTGTTTTTAATTAAAAAATAAAACATTGGATAATTAACTTAATTCACTCTAAATATTAAATCGCTGTGTATTTAAATTGAACTGCATTGGAGATATATGTAAAATATAAAATTTAGCTTTCAAATAATAAATTAATAGCCCTTTAACTTCCGTTCATTGTGAAAATAATAGAAATAAATTTGTGTCCCTGCAGTTCTGATACGCACTTACTGATGAAATCTGAACCCAAAATCCTGTACATTAAACTGTCATGTGATCTGAAGTGGAATTCTGTATAAAAGGTAAGGTAACTGCGTAACTCCGCTTCTCTTCGCTCTTCCCTTCTGCTTCCAGACGCTTGTGTCGCCTTGCCGTCTTCTATACATGCAGAGTTAACTTTTCTAATTTTCGTCCTTTTAGAAGATGCAATCTGTACAAAATTGGAGGGTGCATAGCGCACCCACAGTGATAATGTGAATTATCCAAGAATAAAACTATGAATGGAGTTTACCGTTATGTGTGTTCTTCGAGTTTCATCTTGCTAATTACACAGCAAAGTCTTCAAGTTATGATGCAGTCCTCTCCGACGCCAATCCGTTGCAACTTTCCTCTACCAATTTATCTTGTGCAATAACACAGTCTTATTTCAATAAAAAGTGTGTTTTTACATCTAATGGAACACTTTTATTACACACACACTCACACACATATATATATTGCTAGCGTAATTAAGCAGAGTACTTTAAAGTAAATCGAATTATAGAAATGTTCGTTATTTTCATATACAGAGTGTGGTATTTAAGATGACTCATTTTCAAAACACGATCCAAATTTTTTCTCTGTTTATTCATCATTTATGGAAAAACCATATATTCGCGATAACTTAAATAATCTCTTAACGTTTATAGGAATTAAAGTCACAAAAACTACTTATAATTATTAAACTTCTTTAATCCACAGAGACCTGAACTCGAGGAGTAAGGATTATCTACATTCTGTGCATAATATATGTTGCAAATAATTTGAACAAAACTCACTTGTATATCCATACAAATGAAGAATAGTATATATCTGAAGTATAGAAATATATTCAAAGCAAAACATTTTTTATATCTTTAAGTGGAAATGTTATTAGTATAATATATTGCATATACAGTTTCTCCTTTGAAGAACAAGGATATGTTTTTTAAAACTTTATTTTAATGTAACGAGCATCATTTTCATCCTTTTAATGGAAAATCGTGTAACTACCCCACGATATTGCAATATAAATTTATTCATTCATTTATACCGTGCCGTTGCGAGAGGCATATTTGAAAATGAGTGTTTCTTGGAATACGTTTTAACTCCTTGAGTCTGAAAATATCTGGATTGTTCTCGCTTTATGCCTATTGCCTTGGTTGTTTCCTTTACTGGTGTGTTAATTGACTATTGACAGTCATCCAGGAGCCACCTGTTTGTTAAAACATATGTGAAAGCTAAAAGGTTGTTCATATTTTATTGCATTGCCGCTGAAATAAGCATTTAGAATATTACTGAAACAAACACTAGCAACTTTTTCTGTAGCTAGTAAAGAAATAAACAACAAAACCACGGAGCAGAAAGAGAAACCTCCGAAGTATACCGGCACACTCAATCTCAAACTACAAGTATATCATTGTCCTCCTATAGTAAATACTTATTTAGGTTCATTTGATCCTGTGTCTTTATAAGCGAAGTTTTCACTTCTCTGACAAAGTCCGGTTTTTGTTCTTGTACTTCACTAAAGGTGAAAGCAAGGCAGTTAGCAGAGTAAAAGTCAGTGTCTTGGATTTAGAAAACAGACCTCTTTCAATGCTACATCTTAGAAGTGTTCCTTATGCCAGTTAACGAATTGCTAACATCTCGAATAAAGTCTGCCTCAAAGAAAGTTAGCGCCTATTTGTATCGGTCGGAGACCACAGAATACCTGGTTGTTACATAAGTTAGTAAATGACTTTAGATGTTTAGTAGGCAGGAAAACAACCAAGCCTGGTGTCTGAGAGATGCCTTTTCTTGGCAGTGTCTTATACTGGAAGCAAATCACCTCAATTTTGTTAGCGTATCGTCTATAGATTATTCATTATTTTAGTGCTGTAAATCTTAGCTTTATTTGTAATCTACTAAAACTGGATAAATAAAGTGCTATTTAGTTTTAACCTCTTTTATGGTTGAAAGTTGATTAACAGTCAGATAGCTCACCACCATAAAAAAATATATCTGAGTGGAATACCGTTATGTATATTCGTGGGCAAAATTAAGAGAAATTGCATATTCTGTATAATTTCTGAAAACCTAATGGATAAATTTTAATGAAATTTGGTATGAATGTACATTTATAACAGAGAAAGCGGCGTACCATTCAAAAGTAATTTTATATATTCATGATTATCAGTAAAGCCCAAATTTCAGTGAAGTCCAAAATACACGTTGTCATATCGAACTAAAAATAAGTAAAATATAAGGTATGGGTCCCTCTCACACCCACACAAATCCAGCAGTGTGACGACATACTGGACAGGAGACAGTTAAGGAGTCCCTGTGGCAATCGATCCTACTCTTTTGAGGCAGTTCTCAACTCTAGGACGGTTCTCGGAGGTGGATTGCGAGATGAATTTGTTCTCCCAAGAGCATACCAGACATGCTCTATAGGATTAAGGTCAGGAGATCTAGCTGGCCAACCCCCGCGGTGAATATCCCCCCTTTCCAGGTAATTGTCGATCAGCAGAGCTCTAAGAGGATAAGCGTTTTCGTCCATCAACAGGAATCCAGGATCAACCGATTCCATGAAAAGTCGAATATAGAGCTTTATATCTCACAGCAGTGTGGGAGCCTTTGCCTAGGGTGTGTGGCCGTCCACTATAATGTCTTTCTAAAGCATTACACTTCCATCACCGCAATGATCCTTTTCTCTGATAACAGACAGATGGTATCTTGTTCAAGGCTCTCTCCAGATACAGGTATACCAAGAATGAGTGTCCAAGTTGAATCTCGATTCAGCTGTAAAATGCACGGAGATCCACTATAAATAATCAGCTGTAAAAAGCACGGAGAAAGTCTAATTTAAGGCATGTGTTGTCCGCACATTGTTAAATGTATTCTCTTGTGTGCTGCAGTGAGCGGGAGGGAAACAGCGGGTCATCTGGCATACAGCCCATTATCGTGAAGCCTTCGGGCAACTCTAGAGCGTGAAACTCGGGTTCCAGTGGCAGTCCTGGTCGCCGCACTAAAAGTGCTAGATAACGACAATTATCTATCTGTTTCCATCATCGACTCGTTCATTTTACCAGATACCTTATCAAATTTACCCAACTTTTAGATACAACTCAGTGAATGTCGTGAAGAAATACTAGCACACAAATCGCCGAAAACCCGTCGTTCGCTTGTATCCCTTCCACAATTACAGTCCCGTAGACATGCGTATATATGCTTACGTAATCAACTCTGAATATTCAATTGTCCAATAATTCTTCGGCGGAATTATCAGTGCCTCTGATTCAATAGTTTTCGAAAAAAGACATAATTTGCAAATTCTCTTAATTTTGCATACGAGTGCATTTACATGCACACAAAATAATGTTTAAATATAAATGTTTATATAAATGTTTTGATTACAACATCTATGCGTATCTGGAGGTCAAATAAAAGTCGATTTATATCCATAGCTGAATGTAACATAAACGCATATTTATTCATATTTTTGTAATATATAAATTTAAAAATGCCATTAGATGCATAAAAATAACTTTAAGAAGTTACCGCTTTTGCAAGCGGCAAAAAATAAAATATCCTACCTGCAACAGCAATGATCCATCAGGGATGACTATTCTAATGCAGAATCGGCCACATGAGTCCCATCTCGCTACAGGATATATATCCTGGATTATCCTGTACGGAATGGGATCTTCCATAAATCCGCCCGGCTGTAAAAAATAAAAATAAATTGCTGAGTAAAGTTACAAACAGGATTATGCAGAAAGGAGCTGTAAAAATAAATGGCTTTACTAAGACACCGTATTTTAACAAAATGATCAACTTAAAGGGCAGGAAAGTGTTGATGAACTTTTGCAGCTCCTTCTTAATTTTAAATGCTACATGATGGATAATTCATTCCGTTCATGGTTCATAAATATTACTTTTAACATTATTGAAATTAACTGTTATTGTAGGGTTTACTGTATCAAGAAGCTTGCATCGAAATCGTGCTGACCCTACTAAACTGGTAATAGATTTTTGTTTAGTCTGAAACAAATCTCAAAGTCGTAAGAAGGCTAAATTAGCATTTTATATTTAACTCTTAAATGAACAAAATGACACAGCATGTACGGCAGTCGAATCTCGAAAAGGTATTTAATTTTTAAAAAAACAGCAAATTAAATTTCAAATGTAGCTAACGTAGTCCGAGTTTTTGAACTCTTGAAGAAGAAATTAAGTAAGTTTAATAAAAAAAAGATACATTAATAAATATATATCAAATTCAATTAACATTCAGGAGCTAAATTTTGAAAGCTGATTTTTTAAAAACTACTCGTGCGATTTTTACAAAACTTGGTACTTTGGCATAATTTGAGTCATTGAATCGAAATATGGAAAAAAACATTGATATGCTATTTCAGAAAAAGGCCAAGATTGTTTCCAAATACCTATATTAGAACAATGCTATATATAAATCTAATATATATCCCAAGTCGCATTTTCAAGACATGAAAAACGCACTATAAATAATAACTACTATAAATATTACATTACCTCATAAAGATAGTCAGGCAACTTTTGCGCAGTCTAATCTCTTAATAAAGTGACTCCAATTCAGAAGAAATTTAAAATAAGTGTTTTTATTTGTTCGTCAGCCTTATAGTTACACAAGCAGTGTAATATTAAAAAGTCTCCACATCTTGCGAAACTAATAGACACAAGGTAAAAATAAAGTATTAAAATATGATATTAATGACAAAGCTTGCCTGTAAAACCCGCAAACCTTCGCAAGCAATTACGGCTAGTAAAGCTGATTCAAATCATTAAGATGCTGGAAGAAACAGTAGCAGAACTGGAATGTCGCTAGTTAACTGCCATGATCTCTTTTTCACAGTCAGACACTCTATACTTAAATGTATTAACTAATTTTTGTCCTGGTAGGGTCTGACGAAAGTGGAAATGATTATTTTTAACGGCCGGGAGCTTGATTTAATAACTGTTAGCCTTTCGTCACTATAAAGGCCGGAATGGTGGCTGTTTCATTATGGAAGGACCTAACAGGTGGCCACCGTTGCCTCGTGTGAAGGGACAGACAGTAGTTACAAATATGCCTTCCCCGGGTTTCGAACCCAGGCCCATGGCTACAGAAGTCAGGTTCACTAACCATTATACCGAATGGGCGGCGAAAGTGAAAATGATAGTACAGACAAAAGATAATATTACAACTGGTCAAAAAGCATAAAACTTTACAAATTCTCTTAAACTGGGTCAAATTTTTAGGCTTTCTCCTCCACCCATTCGAGTAGTTGTTTTTAATAAAGCTCAGTTCTTTCGATACTCATATTCAAGAGTACGTTTGGTGCGTTATTTGATTCAGATACAAAATCAGATTTCTGTGTGTTCAATCAGTCGGCAAAATATCTTGTATAATAGCTGTTTGCTAACAAATATCTTCATTCCGATTCCGATATCGCTGCTTGGTGAAAGGTATCCCCTTAAATAAATTGAATCAATTACAAGTTCCAGAGAGGAAAAAAAGGCTGCTGCTGAAATATTGCCTTTTGCATCTATATATAACATGTCATACTTTTACTGCGAATTTTTTGCATAGGCTTTATATTGATGGCACATGGTCATAGTCAGGGGATCTTGAATGAAAGCATCTAGTGCCTCAAAAGAGTTCAGATTAGAATGAAACACAAAAGAAGACAAACATTCATCGTCTCTGATATGTTTTAGCAAACTTCCAAAAATTTGAAATTTTTCCCCTCGAGTTCGGTAATCTTTTCTATACTTTAGGTCTGCCGTTTTAATGTATGAGTTTTAAACCCATATTTTTCTCATTTGGATCCGTGAAGTTACTTAAAATTAATGACTTCTCATTTTTAAGCGAGTAAAAGATAGAAACGCCCAGTTTCTCTACGAACATCCATTTAGCAATTTTCTTGATATACTTCCCTATCTGGGGGGATTTTTGTTCTCAAACTTTTAATTGATATCAAATTATCTCTACTCTTATACAGTTTTAAAACTCAATATATCGTAGTTTTTGACATCTAACCATTTTTATAACACAATAATTTTCTTCTCAGTTATAAAAGAGTACTATTTTCATCCTTAACAGCTTTCGTTAAAGATGGGCCTTTCATAAGAGATTTTATTATTTATAACTGAAATCGCTATTGCTTTGAAGGAAACGAAACCTTGTTACTATAACAACTTTAAAAATCTTCATTTTTACCTTTATTTGTTCATATTTAATCAATACTTATATTTTCACGAAAACACCTTTTAGCAAACACTTTTACTACTGAAGTTTGAGGTTCCGCTTGTATATGAGTTCAAAATCATTTACAAAAAATCCGATGGAGACGCTGCATGATTTCTATGTACGGCTTGTTAAATTATGCACATTTTTGATGCCCTTCATTTAAATTTATTTCCCCGAATAACTAACTCAAATAACAGATCCCTCAAGGCAAGTTGAAAACGATACTAAAAATTGTAAATTTTGAAATTAAGTATCCAGGTCAAGTTTTGTCGTACGACAGTCAAACTTCTTATAATTTGGTTTTCATAACGAATACAAAACTTTCCAATTATAAGTATTGGAACGACAGACCGCATTAAAAGTTAGATTTCATTATTCGTTGAACATTATTTTTTTTAATTGACACTGGCAAAATATTAATATTTTCGTCATATAAAACACTTCTGTAATTGGAAGTGTATAATTACGGTGAAAGATTGCTAAAGTAAAGGACGAGTTAGGGGTAAGTGCACAACTATATGTTAGCAATTCCGTATACAAAATTTCAGTGCTCTACAGCTAATCGTTTTTGAGTTATGCCAGATAAATACATACATTCATACATACATATGTACGTACAAACGTCATATAAAATCCCTTTTTAATCCATTTTACAATCCGTATTTGAAAAAGTGTCCTTTATTCTGAGCGTATGTACAGCCGTCAAGCAAAAAATCGTCGAAATGGATTCGGGTACGGTCAAAGTAAATATTCCGTTGAAATATGACATGTGAAAATTTTCCCGATTACAATACTTCCATTAAATTTTACAAGGAAGTAATAATTCGAACACGAAAATAACATTTTTAAGTTAAATAACTGAACATATATTATTTCTTATTTTATTTGATCATAATACATATTAATTAAATTGCTTATCAGTTATTACAAGGCACTTTCCAGCAGTTATCTTTCTGTTAGAAGGAGATCTAAGTAAATATCATCCTTTCAACCTCAACGTCGTCATCATTCGCCTGATATGCAACAGTATCATCATTCGCATCTATATCATTGCTCGTCGAAAGTTATAAACTAGCAAAAAGCACGCTTTTTTTCTTGTCTTGAAAGAAAGAGAGCAATTGATTAAGAAAAAAAAATTCTTGTAATTGTTTGAGAATGGTTATGAGAGCTGAAAACCAAAGTAAAATGCACGCTATTGCTAAAGTGCCAAACAGTGTGCATGCTCCGATGTTGAGAGATCTGAGAAACTATCGGTGCTAAAATTGCCCTTCCGTTTCGCAATGTTCTTACATCTATCTTTCAAATAAAGATGAGTTGTTATTCACCACCAGTTCCGTCCGCTAGACATTTATCTATTAATCCTTACTTTGGTGATATTACAGCTGGATTTATAACGCGGTTTCAAATTCGTTTTATGCAAGGAATTTCAATTTTGTCTGAATTTTTTTAATTAAAAAAAAATCTTTCCTCTCGACGAGCAAACGGATCGTTTTATACTTGAAAATGTAAATTAATTATATCATCTTTAACAGAAACTAATTTCATATAAATAAAGACACAATTTTTTATGCATATTATATTTTACATTGGTGAAAGTAAGTCGAATCATGTAAAAAAAGACCTCACCAAAGACCAAGCAGTTAAGACCGCTGGATGCTATAACTCTACCCAAGTTCGAGCCTTGGCCAACGGATTAGCTGCATGACTGGTTTTGGGGGGTTTTCTCATGTGTAAACTAAGTAAGAACCAGTTTTCCTTAAAAAGTCCATTACTAAAGCATTCCTCTCTTTAGACAGGTATTTCTTGTGTACTTTGCCACATTAAAATAGCCTAAGTTGATTATCAAAATAGGAAGCAGACGTAACGATCGTACAGTACTACACTTTTACGACACAGTTTCAATATAACAATCCCTCCACAAGCTGTGGTAATCCTAGTACATGATGGCTATTACCTAACACGATATCAAGAAACCGGGTTGGCAAGTAGCTATATGAATTTGATTTTTAGCATTCTTATCCCGAAGCTGAAAGCTACAATAAAAGCAAAAATAGCGTTTCCAAATGTTTTTGCATAAGAAAGTTTAAATCGTGTCAACTGTTAAAATAAAACTTTTGCCATCTAATACATCTCATTCACCCAAAGATTAAACTAAGAAATAATTTCAGCATTTAGAGTGCAAGATCCAAAGGTTTTTGACCTAATTCATTTTGAAAAGAAATAGAGAAAAAAAAATTCCTGTTACTTCTTTTTCAGTACAGCCCCCGTCGGCACATTTTTCGATGCTTTTATTTGGCATTTTTACGTCCTTCAAAAAAGTGATATGAAGATATCGGAAAGAATAACCTACCGAACAAACCTGAATGTAATAAAATCAATGATAATTAGCATAAATTTTATTTAAAGGGAAGCGCTTGTAGGATTCCAAACAATATCGTTTTCTTCAGTTGAAATTGA